CAGTGGATCTACGGTAGATCTATGCTAGATTTGTGGATTCTCTATTTAATCTTCTTTTTCTCATCTTTCTCCTCTCCGTTTTCTTTCTCCTAGAGATTGTGCGATGGAGGTGGGGGTTGACGGAGGTGGTGTAGCTGTGGGGCAATTCTAGTGTTGGCGATCGGGGCTGGCAGATGCAGTGATGATGGGGCGGTCAGGGCTGGGGAGAGGGCGGGGCGGCCGGTGGTGGACGCTGGGGAGGTGGTGGCTGGCTGGCTGCCAAAACTCTAGCACGGGGTTAGGCAGTGGTGGGGATGCAAGGGTGTTTTGGACATTTTAATGCTAAAGTCAATACTTCTTAAAAATGAGGAAAAGTCAAACCGGGAACATCATTCCGGGACGGAGGGAGTATTTATTTGTATTTGAATGATATCAAATCAGTTTAGCAACAAATTTAACAATGTGATCAAATCAAAATTTAAAAATATTGAATCAGAACGAACCAGATTAGGCATAGAGAGTATATAAATACCGAGTACTTCGTATATACCCTTCTTGGTACATTTTCTAGGAGTGGGTCCCTTTAATGTTCTCAACTTGTTATTTGTTAAATAAAATTACTCCGTAGATGTTAGAAGAAATTGAAAAAAACAGGAAAACTAGAAAAAACTAAAAGAAAATGGAAAAACTGGAAAGAACTCGAAAAAACTTAAAACATTTACTTCCCAAAAAATTGCTGCTGGGTACCTCCAATTTTGTAATAAGAATTCGTAGGTCCTATTATTTTTCAAAATATACTCTCAAGTACCTTAAAGATATTTGAAAAGTGACTCCTGGGTCACAATTTGTCTTTCGATCTTCTTCAATTCTTTCTTTTTCTTCTTCTTCATCTTCTTCGTTTCCTTCGCCTTCCGATGTGATCCTCCCCCCAACCACCCACCCCCCTTCTTTCTTCTTTTACTTTTTGTTTTGGATTCTTTTTTCTTCTTCTATTACAATTATTATTATTTGTTATTAATAACCCCAAGGGGTGACTGTCATCACGGCGTTGCCCCTCTCTTTCTTCCTTTTCAATTACGTCCAACCTTAAATTAATCAAAATTTAACGCACCTCCACTTAAAACAATTAAAATAATTCACATCTTTACACCCTATGTCTCTCCTTCACGCCACCACATTACACATATTTTTTTCACTCCTCATCGATCATACTTCTTCACTCCCATCAAGCCCCGTCAGACCTCTGTCATAACACATGACCTTCAAAAAAACCTTGCAATGCATTAGGCAGACCTGTTTAAAATTTAAGGAGGATTGTGTAAACAAGTGAATAAGTCATTAGGAGGGGCATTAGAACCAAATAGTGTTAGGTTAGCACTGTAGAAGTCGTCAAATCGTAATTAGTTGGTGCAGATTAGGTTGACCATTGTGTATTGGGTAGTTGGGATGTCTATATCTCCCTAATAAAAGTGTTGTTAGTCACTCCAAAGAAGGATTATTAGTAGATTAGGGCATATGCTTTACACCTTGATTTTAGCTGGATTTATTTAACTTTTATAACATATGCATATATGACATTTAGAGTTCTACAACTTGTACAAGTCCAGTTAAGAAGACAATGCAAGATTGATTGGTCAAATGTAAAATGTAAAAAAGTAAGATTATTTTGAACAAGGGCTTACCAAAGGAGAAACTATTCTGCACAAATAACCAAGGAAGGAAGAGGCATTTTTCAATACCAAAAACTATTAGTACTACCAGATAAAGCGTTGTTTGGGAAGAACATTTCAAGATAGTGTATCAAATAACTGTTTAATGGCGTAAATTAACTTTGAAAATGCTAAAATTAACACTATCAGTAGATTACATCTTCAAAAATGCAAAAGAGTTAAACCCTTAAACTCTATTGCCAAACAGGCACAAAATATATTGGCAGGTCATAAACATAATGAAACCATAAGAGCGGTGGTTTACCGGGGAAAAACATTACAGCATATGGAGAATTATAAAAACAAATCTGTTCATCCTAGACAATAAGTCATACCCCAATCTTCTTTATCACAGACATTGAACAGTAACGGGTGTCCGTGAATGTCCGCAAAAAGGTGTGGTGAAAGATGGAGAGCATAGTCCAATGAAGAGACATTAAACCACTCCAGTGAAGTCTGCAAGCCCAATATCTTTCAGCTCCTTAATTCCTTCTCTGGGAATATGGAGTAAGAGTCAAGGACTTAGAGCTCTTTATATAAAAAAAGAAGTCACACAAACAGCTAATGTGTGAGTTCACAGATCATCCTCAAAATTAGAATACTCACTGTCTTTAAAAGAAAAGAAAGAGTCACTCTTTAAAACTAATTTTTGTCCCAACCAAAGTGTAATACGTCAACAAAAATAAATCCTTTTTCATTGAATTTGATGAAATTTTTCCAATAAAAATTAGGTGGTTTAAACAAGTTTAGTACGGTATACAAGTATCAAGTTGAATAAATAAATAAATAAATAAATAGTTTCTAAAATAAGTTATATTGATAATAAAAGAGTTGCCCGGCCAACAATAAAAGAACTTGCAAATTCTTATAGATTGGAGATGAGCTTTTATCATATTCTGTCAATGCAAAAACTAAATTTAGAGAAAAATTGGATCATCAATTTTACACGATTACCTTACGTTTCTTCTGCTGCTTTTTTTGCATACCTCCCAAGTCTGTGGATGGATCAGAAACACCTTCTTCGAAAGGCGAAGATAAGAACTCGTCATTAAAACTCTCAGTCAGACCAAGCAGCCTGTCAGCTCACAACAAGAAAGCAAATTGCTTAACCAAAGTACTACAAGTCAATAGCACCGCACAAAAGTCAAGCTTAATTCGTGAATGATCATATATCAATCAGAAAGAACAACTTTATAAGTATTACCCGTTTCGTGACTTCTTCAAATGTTTCATTTGCTTCTTTTCCAATTTTGTGATAGGTGCGCGAGTGAAAAGATCCTCCTCCTCTTTATCGCGTTTTTCCATCTTATCTATATACCGTCTAACTTCTCTACTCTCAGTTCCAACCATCTCTTTCCACTGCAATTTTCATGATTAGATGCAATTAAACACAAGTAGGTCACTTAAAACCAAAAAATATAGAGCCTAAACCTTTTGACTTTATATTCAAATTATCCCGACCGGACTTCAGCTTCTTTCCAGTTTCCCGTCTCTAGATTTTGTTAAAATTACTACTGCATCCACACTCCAGTTAAAATTAAGGCAAAAAGAGCAATCCCATATTAAGTATTCCGTAGTAAATAACAGATTGGCCAGAAACCTCTTCGGGTCTTCCCTCGATATCATCCATCAACTCTTTCACATAAGTGCTCTGTTTAGACTGTCGAAGCATCTCTTTCTCCTTTCTCAAGGCATTTCTCTCTTGTCTTGATGTCTTGCCTTCATCCATGACGGCAGGAGCAAGCTTTGGAGGTCTATAAATACCATCTGAGTCCTGCAAATGGCAAATAATGAGAATGAGAACCTATTGGTCAAACTGTGTGCATACTTTAAAGAGAAGCCTCACAGTATGTGTCATTTACTTTTCAATTACTTGGGAGATCAATAATTTAATGAGTTTCTACTGGTCAGTTGTCAAACAATGAAAAAAACATCAGTTCATATTATGTTAATTACTCACTTCTAGTGTTCTTTTGCTAGTCAGCAACTCAGGTTTGGGACGATACTTCAACAGATCCCCCTGAACTTGATCTGATCCGTTGCTAGTAGAAAGATTCTTTTCAGCTGCATTTTCAGTTTCTCTAGTGAGCTTCTGAATTTGATATTGCATCTTCTTATCTATGGGACGAATCTGCACAACACACAAAGTTGAAAAAACACACAATAATAGGTTTTATAAAATAGCCAGTTAACTTTGCATCCTTTAATGGGAGAAATCCAATGGTTTCTATGAGGAAAAAACAGGAACGGAAACTTGGGGCAGGGGGATATAAAAGTTAAGCCAAAAGTCAATAAACATTTTATATACGGAATATTTGTTACGGCATATTTATTTGTATTAATGAATTATGTAAAGACTAAGAAATCTAACTGTTGGTTAAATTTTAAAAAAAATAGTCACATTTCATTTTCCTTTCCCTGTTTTTTTTCAATATCCAAACATACTCTTAAGGTTTATTTTAAATATCCCCTTATTTCATCAATAACTTCCTTGCTCCCCACACCTCATATGCTTTCCAACAGGCTTAACCCACCCAATCGACAACTGGAGGAGGAGGGGTCCATACAGTTTTCACCGCTCCAACTTAAATAAATGGCAATTTTCTCTTGTCGTTTCTTGTCCCTAGTTGTTAATCTTTTATTTGTATCCTCTAAAACTTCAAATTCTTTTCTTGATGTCCAAGTTATAAAAGTCATTTAAATTTAACTAGTCTGATAAAGAAAACAAGTTTTATTTGTACGCCTTTCAGAAAAAGCGGAGAGTGCACATTTTCTTTATAAAGATCCGGAATTACTATTTTACATCTTCAAGATCACATAGTCTTTTATTACGCCATGACAAAAATCAGATTGGAAAACTTGGAGTGTTTAGAAACTGCACTACCTTCTCCAGAAAAAGTCTTATCTCTACTAGACTGCGAACGACTGGGTGTCCGTCAATTGATAGTCCTTTGGCCTTACGAAGCAAATAATAGACCAGTGACTGACAATAGTTCAGAAGTAACAAATGTTTGGCTTCAAGATAGCTTATCCCGTCTGATGTAGGAAACTGGTTTGCTTTCACCTACCAAAAGAAATGCAGTTTTTCATATTAGAGAAATGAATACATCAACTAATCCCCTTTTCATCAAGAAAAACCGGAATAAATTTTATCACACGGTACAAAATATGAAACCAACAACCCATGCCAATCTTTCCCAGCCTTCTTTTCCACAAAAAGCATAATTTGCATTGTCTATCCTATCAGATTGGGCTCCACAGCTTTCTGGAAACCTCACCATAAACAACAAAACGCATTGTGCAACAGAGAAAATGCAACAGGTCCACTAAGGAAAGAATGCATCAATTCTTTCTCTTCTTTTAATTAAAAATAGCTAAATTTGGTGCCATCGGCGATAATCCAGCCTATTGAAACTATGATGCTTTCGGCCAAAAAATTAGCACAAAATAAAAAAAACAAATCATAGCAAAATCGGGGCAGATTTGCTATATTCTTCAACATAACGAAGCAATAGTATGCTACTGATAGATTTGAATACAGACTTGAGATAAACATACGCTCGTTACCTTTGAAGCCAAAGCTTGCACCTTGGACCTCACTGTATCCAAACCTTCTTTCATATCCTTCAACACCCCAATTAGCTGAGGAGCTTGACTGAATATTTAGGCAAACATCTAATAAGCATGTGAACAAAAAAACCTAAAGATAGAAAAACTAACTTAAATTTCAAAATAATCAGGGAAAAAACATTGTTTTAAGTGGAGCGTTTTGGAGAAAAACGAAATTGCCTGTTAATCCTTTCGTCCATGACCAATGTGAGCTGCTGACTTTTCAGGCGTTTTCCGGCGGTGATAGCGTTGAGCTCAGGGAAAAGCGGGGTGAATTTAAACTAGCTCAAGTCCTGAACCAGTTAAACCTATACAGGGAAAACGTCAAATTGAGGAAGAGGATAGCCGATAGGTTCAAACAATTATGTACAGGCCTTTCCTTTTCAAAGAAGAAGGAATCGATTCAATCGAAGATATTGATTATTAGGGTTGTGTTTTTACGGTTCCTCTCACAGGTAAAAAATAAGTTAAAATTAGAAGAAAATTTACCAGAAACCGCCGCAAGCTGTCAGGCTAAGGCGGAGGAACGGGCGGGAGGCCGGGACGGAGGTCAGACTTCGGGTTTCAGAGTTTCCGGCGAGTGGAGTTCGGCGTGAAGGCACTTTTGGGTAACTGCAAGTTTTATTTTTATTTTTCTTTTTGGGCTTATCGGTTACTGGACTAGGGGCTTATGGCCCACTGGAATTACCATTCATTTTGGACAGGGCACATTTCTTTCAATCCAAAAAATAAATAAATTCTCGATTAATTATGTTACGAATCCCCGTAGATTTGTTACTTTTGTTTTTTTCTCTCTAAAATATTTTTTAGTCAAGACATTCCTATATATAGTGAATAGTCTTCCCTCCAATTTAGAGTTAATATGTAAGGTTGTATTGAAACCAAAAATAAAGTCACTTTGGAATTTAAAAAGTTTAGAGAGACTAAAAACAAAATTCATTATGATATCCATTGGATTATTTTTTTATATTTAAAATGATCTAGATATAGCATGTGGATATTAAAGTTTGTGCACAATATAATAATCATACTTTATGTCGAATAGTTTATTACACTGTATAATTATATTCGGATGCTCACCTCGATGATACATAATTCTATTTTTAGAATTGTTGCGCCTAATATCATCCACCGTCCTTCAAAAAATTGGCATCCACTGTTAGTATTTATAAGCTAACAAAGTTAATTGTTGATGGATTTCAGCTCACCAATTATGGATGCACAGAAAATGATAATAAGAAAAATAGATAATTTTCATAATATGATGTCAATATTATTTATATTAGCTCAATTTAAATTGGGTTTACGCACGGGGTGACCCACAATTTCTAGTCTACACTCCACACAATACACTATTCATGGAAATTAATCGTTGTCTTAGTTTTCCCACCACGATTAATCAGACTAGCGACTAATCTCTAGCCAGCTAATCCATTGCCGAAGCCCAAAACTCAAACTACATCCTTCTCAGCCCGTAATGCACAAATATTGAGTGGATTGATAAGTAAACCATTGGGTCAGTTCTACATTCTCGATAAGTCAAATACCCACCAAACTATTTTTCTCATATAGTATTGATGGATTAGGGATTTTTCCTAATCCAATATTATTTGAACAGTACAAGAAAGCCCAATTTTATCTGGTCCAAGATATAAATCAGGTTATTTATTCAAGACAGAACCAGAGATATATGGACATAAGAATATATTTGAAGTGATGTGGAGACATTTGGCGGGACCCGTGGAACACTATCACATGGAAACCACATGCTGCACATGGGCTTCACATGGACAATGTCTCCTCTTGTCTCCATCAATTATTTCCTTCTCCTCTTTAAATGCATGCTACGAAGGAGGGAAGAGGGAAGCCAATTTCCTACTAGTACTACTATATTCTTCATTCTTCTTCTTCTTTTGGCTTGGAGCTCCATTAATGACTCCAAGTTCCTACAGTGATGTATATGTAAATTCCCCCGAGATTAATAAAAGTTCCTCCCCTTTGGCATGGCACCGCCTAAAAAGGCCCGTGGTTTTCTCCCGATTTGGGTTTCCACGTATAAATACTTTCTCTCCGCTTTATTTATTTATTTAATTTTCGGATTTTCGCTATTCGGTGCGGTGCCGACCCGGTACCGATTTCATCGGGTCAGCGCCCCGAAAAAGCGGTTTCCATCAAGTATCATATGCTTGCCAACTTTATATTGCTAGTTCTAACATATAGATTCTATATTGCCCAATGCCTACTCTTATCGAAGACTTGACAAGTTTCTTTTGAACACATTCGAAAATACAATTTACTAACGACATCATGTTATCCGCACCCGACGCTCATTGTGTTCGAAACCATCAATTTTGCGCAACCTTTAAATGCTTACATAGGTAACTACATAAATTCATATTTTCTATTATCGATTTGATTCAGATTTCTAATGTGGCTTTGTTAGCATGAATTTTTCAATCAAACCATTCACACCTTTGAGGTAGCACAAGTTTTGTTCAAGATGTTGTGCCAATATCATCAAAAAATATCCCCAAGTAAATAATTTAGAAAATGATATTTGCACTCTAATTTTAGTTGTTGGCACCTTCAAAATGCACTATTCAACTTTCTAACGTTAATAGTGTATTTTAGAATGCCCATAGCAAAAATTAGAGTGCAAATATCATTTAAAACCAAAACTATCCCCTCCGTTTTTAAAATAGTTTCTCTTTTATTTTTTTATTTTCTCTAAAATACTTCCATTTTTGAAAAAAATGACTCATATATCTAAGTTAAGTTGTTGCAATATACTTCATTCAATTTGAATTGATATAATAAATCATTTAAATGATTTATCTCTTTTTTTTCTTCGATGATAAAGATACAATTAGAAGGCCAAACTACGAATATAAATCCTTCCCAAGTTAAAATAGGAATTGTTTTAAGAGAGGGAGTGAGTAAAAATTATGGCATAATGTACATTGATAAGCATTACAGTTGAGAGGGAGGACTCAAAGTAAGCAAACATTGCATTCAAAGAAAAAATAAAAATAAATAAAAAGAGAGCATCACTGGTGGAAACAAGTACTCTATATACATCCACCATGGAAACAGATAAGGGGACAACATGATTGTTTCAAAAAAAAGAAAAAAGAAAAATAGGAAAGTGGCAAAATATAAAATGGTTCAAATGGTCCAGTTGGCTTCACTTCCAACCCTAGGAATGGTGGGGGCAGACTTGGAGAGAGGGTCAACCTTGAAGAGGGCTCCACACATTGCACCTTCACTGTCAACTCTGGTCATTGCCATCATCTCCTTCATTGGATGCTCAAAGCTCATCAGCCCCTTCTCACTGTGATACATACATCCTGCAATAATCCATTTTCCCCTTCTTTTTCAGTCTCTTAAACTCTATTGTACAACATTAATGTCACTTTCACTTCAACTAAAACTTCATTTTGTCCTCTCATGATCCATTCAAAAACAACAAATCCTCATCTCAAGTAACTTATGGTTATGGATCAGCTACACCAACCAAAACAAAAAATGTGGGCTATGTTTGACATTAACTTCAGGGTTTAGCTTCAACGTTTTGTGAAAATGCTACCTAAGGATAGCTTTTAGTATCAGCATTTTTCTACGTTAATCTGCACCATTGACAAATTATCCAAAACGCTAATCACAATTCACAAATGTTATTCCCAAACGAAACCTTAATCTTTGTACCATTTTCACATGGGAAATGATATAGGAAAGCAGTGAATGGACTGTTTTATGTAAGCATACCATTAGGGAAGGGCGCGAAGGATCTGCCGCAGCTATCTTTGATCACTTGCACATTGTCTGAGATCATAACGGACCCGTCCTCCTCCGCAATTCCCCAGTACAGCTTCAAGCTCTCATTCACGCCCTGCTCACATATCAGGCAATACAAACGAGGCGTTATTAAGGAGAGTACACGTTCATTAACTATCAGGGAGAATCAAGCATTCAGATCTTTCTTCAATGGGAAATGAAGATATGAAGTTGTGTGATTGATTACCAGAGCAGCAAAAACGGTTGAAGACTTGTGGTCGTAGATGACGAACCCGAAACTGCCCTCGAGATCGTTGAGGACTTGATGGGCGGGGTATGGGCCTCGGTCTCGGAGGGTCCGATAAGCCTCGATCACAAGCATTGCCTCATTGTTCCCACCTTTGGAGGAAGACAAACCATACTGCCTGTTGAGGGAGCACAGATTGTTGAGGCTCCCGAGGAAGATGCAGTACATCTCATTCACCCCACAGAACAACCTGATCAAACCCAGACATTTCAATCAGCATTTTAATCTGACCTGATGACATTGATAGCGCTATGAAATTACGAATTATCAGCAATCGGTTGGATATTCAGACGCCATACCTCTGGGGGGAGAAAGGGGAGGAAGAATTAGGGTTGGGAGAGGAAAAGGCGAGAAATGCTCGATCGCCAAACCCTAGAGAAAAGCCATCGCTGGAGGAGGAGCGGTTGAAATTGGCGACGGCCACCCGAGGGGGTACGAGGTTTCCGGGCGGCGGCGGCGAGGCGCCTGCCGGGATCTTCAGCTCCTTCGGTGGATCCACCAATCCTTTGTTGAATATTGCCAGCATCTTCTTCTTCTTCTTCTTCTTTTCTGAAGAGCAAAATCAATCTATGGGGGGGAAATGTGTTGGGTTTCGAGGTCAGGGAAAGCCGTTCCGTTTATATATATAGAGAGAGAGAGAGAGAAGGGTAAGTGTTGCTGACGTCAGCATCATCCATTTTTGAGCTTATCTATCTTTCTTTGTGCGGCGGGGAGAATGGAGAAGAAGGAAGCGGAGCGAAAGAAATCAGGAGATTTGACGCATTGCCTCGTCAGCTTTTTTTTTTCTTCTTGCGAATGGATAAGTTCGAATCTTTGAATTTGGCGCGCACACACACGACCCCGTACCGGTACCCAATCCAAACGTTGTGGCCCAAACCCATAGTTGATAGGAGTTGTTTTGCTTCTTTTTTTTTCATTTTGAAAATGTTTTACTTATAGAGTATACTATTTTCTTCGTCCTATTTTAAATTAACTATTTCAATTTATAATGTTTGATTCAAATTATTTTATTTTAATTAATTCTCTATATGAGAATTGAAGTAGATTACAAATAAAATTTATACTACTTGGGTTCTTGATTATTTATCCAGTTTTGATTTTTTTCGATGGAGGATAAGCTTCGAGAGGTTAAGTTGAGATGGTTTAGTCCTGTGAGAAGGCGTGCACCTGAGGCTCCAGTGCGGAGATGCGAGATGCTTTCGATAGTTGGAGGGTGTGGGGTAGGTGTAGACTTAGGAAGAATTGGAAGGAGGCGGTTATGCAGGACTTAGGACTTTTGGCTCTTACCAAGGATATGGCCTTAGATAGGGACGTCTGGAAATCTAGGATTAGAGTAGTTAGGTAGTCATTTAGTCTAGGGTGCAAGTTTTGTTCGTGTTGCTGTGTGCTGTGTTGACTTGACGTATTTCTTCTTCCTGTTAGCTAGGTACTTGATTTTTGTGTTGTTTGAACTAAGAGTCTCTTGGAAATAACCTCTCTACTTTTAGTGGGGGTAAGGTATGCGTACACCTTCCCCAAACCCTACTTTTGTGGGATTCTACTGGGTTGTTGTATCCTATAGGCTACGCGTTCATTACTAAATAATACAACAAAATGAAATGTATATTTTGAGACATAAAAAAGAAAAGTGGATAACATTTTTTGTGACAAAGGAAGCAAAATTATTGCTTGTAATTATCACCAAATTTATATAAAAAAATGAAAAGAACAATATTTTGAAGAGAGAGAGAGAGAGAATATGATACTCCGTATTTGGGAGCAAAATGATTCTTTTAATTTTTTTAAAGGTAAAAAGATAGTAACGCAATTCATCAAACGAGATGAAACAAAGTGTAATGGGATACACTCCGAAGAAACAGAGTTCGTCTCGGCGTATTTAGTAATAGCATGGACTTCAACATGAGAAGACCATCAAACAAATGAAATAGAGACAAAATCAAAAGTTTCGAAACAAGGCGTTCGAAATAAAAAAAGGGGGATCAAAGCAAGTTTTAAAAAGAGAAAGAATAACAATGCATATTTATCAAATCAAATAAATATCAGAGCAAAAAGCTCACATCCCACATAAATTTACACTCATATTTATGTCAAATTTTGTCTTGTGAGCATAAATGAAGGTAAAATATAGGCGCCCATTTTGGACCAATAGCATAATCCTACATGAAAACATAGATGACAAGGATATATATATATATATATATATATATATATATATATATATATATATATATATATATATATATATATATATATATATATATATATATTGCAAGGGATTTTAGTCTGTGCGCGTTGCACCATTGACAAAGACGAGTATTATTGAGGTAAACTTTAATTCGATTCTTTACAACTGCGTTGAAAAACAATTATATTAAACATAGAACCTTTGCAAGTACCAAGTGCAAGTTCCACTCTGCCACTAGTTTGCAATCAAAGCTCAACTTACCTCATTTTAGTGACCGTCCGACCGGCTAAGGTTTTCCTCGGGGACAAGGTTCCTTTTTTTGCACTATTGCAAGGGTTCCTAACTTCCTAATGCCAAATTTTCCTGAGCATAAAAATAGCACATTCCCATTGCGAGAAGTTGAAAGTTCATGCGTGTAAGAAGTTAAAAGGAAGCACCATGGGTGGCCAGCATTTCATGTTTTGGAGAAAACACCCATATGACCCTCGTGTGACAAACTAAATGCCTTTCAAGCTTCATATTCCAACATCTTTAGTCCAAGCTTTGGTTTATGTTAAAAAACAGTGGCAATATGCAAAAACTTACTGGGTATGTTACTATTTTCAGGTTTCAGACTCTAAATTTCAGTTAACATTAGAGCAAAGAGAATACACCCATGATGAAATCAGATCTTGATTGTTAAGCATGTAATGGTAAATGGATATAAGTAGTTACACTGCGCTATACGGGAAAAAAAATGGAGAACCATTGCTATCATCTAAAACCACCTCTATGTACCCCCAACCCAACAGTTGGTGTTCCGTATACGGTCTGGCTTTGATTAGTGATGCCTAAAACAAATTCATCATATACAAGTCGATGAACTGTTAGACTAACCACCCCCGTCCTTGAAAAAAGAAATGAAAAAAAGGGTATATCTTCTAGAACTGGTTAGTCAGTCACGAAAGAATGTGAATAGAGAAAATCCATACTGCACCGAAAGAGCGCCAAGCAAAGATCCCCCTCAGAGTTAAATCCTGAAGAGGTATTCCAAGTCCTCTGTTGTTAGACGCGTCTGTCGCCCACCATTGTCATCCTCTCCGAATGCTGATGCAACCATTTCTCTCTTCTTTTCCTGTGATTTTGCATCTTATGAGATCCACACGGACTGGTATGTAACGGCCATTAAACTGTTCACTGTAGTTTATTACATTCAAAGCACGGAAAAAAATCATCCCATATAAAGAATTGGGTTTCAAAAGTTTTTATCGTTCCAAAAAGACCGCTATTTGAAAAAATGAAAATAAACTGTCAACTAATTTTCCAAAACCGAGTAGCAAACATGTTTAATATAATATATTTAATTGAAATATCAAAAGTATTTTTAAAGTGCACGTATGATGTATGATTTACAACAGTTCTACCTTGCCAAATGTAAAAGGTAGTATCTTGGTCAAACATGAATCTTTTCTATTGGGATGGAGAGAGTGAAACAAAATGCACTGATACCTGAAGAGCCAAAATACGATCTTCAACTGTATCTTTTACGGTCAAACGCAACACGGTGACTGGTTGAGTCTGCCCAATGCGATGTGCTCGGTCAATTGCTTGATCCTCTGTAGTCGGGTTCCACCATAGGTCCAGTAGCAAGACATGACAGGCTGAAACCAAGTTCAGTCCCAAACTAGCAGCTTTTAAAGACATTATCAAAACAGACACCTACCATAGACAAATATTTACGAGCTTAATTAGAGTACACTGGGGGGGGGTCATCTCAATAGACTAATTTAATCAAATTACAACAAACCTCTGGAATTGTATTGAAGTCTTTCACAGCTTTGTCTCTGGCAACGATGGACATTGTTCCGTCTAGTCTCCTGTACTGAATAGAGGATTTTTTAAGACAAGCTTCAAGCAAATCCAGCATCCCTGTCCATTGTGAAAACACAAGTGCTTTCTCTCCACCTACTTCTCCGATTCTAAGTTTAGGCAGAGATTGAAGCACCCCAAGCGCAGCCTTGATTTTAGATGAATCATATGAGCGCCCCACAGAAGAAATATCAGATGTTTCACATGGTTTGGGACCATTGGAGTTATTAGTGACTACATGGGGCTGGTTCGATAAAGAGCGAATTAATATTGATTTGGAGAATATTGAAGAAACATTCAGATGTGCTTTGCAGTTTGGTGAAGGACAGTGGGTGGCATCTCCGGTTAGGTGTTCACAAATGCATTGATTGCAAAAAACATGTCCGCAGATGGATACCACAGCATCTTCTGGAGGATCCTAAAAAATTTACGTTATCATTAAATATTAATCCACCCAAGGGAATTCAATGAAATACTCCCTCTGTCCAAAAAATACACTTAATGTTTAAGGTACTTTTATTTGTAATCAACTCGGCCAAGGTAAGAGCTGTTACAAATTATAAATGGTCACTTATACCCCTAAAACTTACTTCCAAGATTGTATGGAGCAATTTACTAAAACCTCTTTTTGCTTTGCTTTACAGAAAATTCCCATCAAAGGTAGCATTCAAGTTTGTAAAAGATCTCCCCAAAGTCATTACTTTTACATATAAGTTGAGATGACTTCATGCTTTAGTGGAATTGAATTCTCTATATTCATGCTTGCACATAGAGTTACTCAATCCAACCATATGGAATCAGAACACCAACTTTACCATACAGTTCAGAGTAAGTTGAATACAGTTTCATATCCTTAAACGGGAGTTAAACCCATAAGGCCATTATTGTAAGATCATAATCATAAGGTTTAAGTCTTCGCCCACTTAAACGAGACCCGCACAAGGTGTCATAGTCACAGATGCTTAAAGGTGATAAGGTTTCTCGAGGCTTAAGCCTCAATTTTGAATATTGAGCATTATGGAGTCTTTGTGTTCTTTAAAGTGGTTTAATTTTTAAAACCTGTTGAGCTAATACTCCCTCCGTCCCAAAAATCTTCTCATTTACTATTTTGGCATCCCAATAACTTTTGTTTGTTTGTGTGTTTTCATTGACTAAATAAAGGACTAAATTCCATCAATGGTCCTTTATCATAAAAGGTTTCTATATATAGTCCTCAATTTTAAGATATTACATTATATTTCAGAGCTATTCATTTGGGGACTATATGTGGGAAAAAAATATTTGGGTCAAAGGACTGATGATGGAATGATTATCAAACGTATTATCTTAGAATTGGGACCATTAATGGAATTTACTTTAAAATAAAATATTCTTGTTAGATTTTGTTTTATAAAACTTTTCCTGTAGTTTTGAAATATGTAAATTGTACCTTTACTTTCTATACTAATTTGTAAATAAAAAATTATTTTAGAGATGGAATTGTGCACATTGTTTGAAGTGAAACAAGATTTTTGGAACAGAGGGAGTATATTTTTGCTATTGAGCCTTGGTCCCTTCAAGTACGAGTCTACTTTGGCTCTCTCCTTTCTTTTCCTTCTTTATTTCTTTTTAAACAATGAATAAAATCTTCTTTCATCATTCGTGAGTGTGCCTCTTCATTTTTGCATTGTCACCAATAACCAAGCACTACTCCAATGACCACAAAGCTAAAAATTTTATTCGGAAAATGCCAAAACATCAACATCAACCAATTTCACAAACTGAGTCAAAGACCACTTACACTGCATATGCCACAGATCGCTAAAGAAACCTCCAAACAATTCAGAAGTGAAATTTGTTTCTCCTGGGGAAGTTTCTTAGCCACTTCGGCAGAGGAACTCCAGACCAAACTTGAATTGGATCCCCCAACAAGAAGGGGATGGTCACAAGCTTGGCGAAGTCTCAAAAGCATCAGTAATATGTTAACATAATTTTGTTTGACAGTTCCAGCTGCTGCATATTTCTAAAACAATGAGAAAATCCAGAGATGAAAAAAATCAGCCCTCCATGACAAAATAAATTAGTAAAACAAAAGGAAAGCATTAGCATAAGATTCATATTAACATACAGCGAATTGTGCACGCGAATCAGCCTCAAGCTTGCAGTAGAAATCTCTTTCCTCTTCAGTAAATTCCACTCTTTTTAGTTCAATTCTTTTAGGTGGAAGAGTGATGATTGGTTCTCCATCTATTTGTGTACCTAAATATGATATTACCAACAACCATTTGTAAGGATACAGCCATCAAGTTGAAAATAAAGCAAGCTTAGTTTCTCAAAAATTGACGGAAATAAAAAAAAAAGCAAGCTCCATGGAATATTAGGCACACACGCAAATAATGGTTAGCCAATATATCAATAGAAAACTTCAAACAATAATTATTGCCAAGTTTACAGCATATGATTGTTAGACATGTGTTTAATGTTCTAGTCTTTGGGTGCATGCTAAGTGTGTACATGTTGGCATATCCAAGGTTGGAGACGAGCTCTAGGTGTAGCATATGGGTGTGTGTGTATGGGAGCCTCAATTGTTACACCACTTATAGTGGTGTAACATCGCCCGACAACAGTTCAATTGGAGCACCTACAGTGCTCCAATAGTTGGTGCTCCAATCAAACTAGTGTCACGAATTTTGGTATCATTTTTGTTGGCGTGAATTTACACACACACACACACACATATAACGTGATCAAAATAAAATGACTGAACAACTCCAAGATAATATACAATAAAAACAGATCCAAGAGACTACAATAAAAACAGCTCCAAGAGACTAACATTTAAACAAGGAAAATAGAAATACAAGAAAAGATCTTGCCATTAGTAAATAGCATATCTGCAACTCCAAGAAACTACTCCCTCAGTCCGGGAATGATCTTCCCAAATTGGCTGTTCACACTTTTTAAGGAGAGTTGAAAAAACAATGTAAATGTCCATTTTACCCTTAATGAAAGTGGATGGAGTATGTTAATTGAGGTGGGTGGGGTGTAATAAATGAGGAAAGTAAGGATAGTTGTGGTATTTCAAATGTTAAAAAGGTAATGGGAAGATCTTTTCCAGATGAAAAAGGGAATTTTGGAAGAACTTTCCCGGAGAGAGGGAGTATTAATATAAATCATTATTCCATTGAAAAAAACATAAAAGCTTAAATATTCACCCTTAGTGCGACGAAGCATTATAGTCTTGAGCACAGCTTGCAGCTTTTTGTACCCGCTCGGTGGATGTTTTTGGATTGGGGCTTTAAGTGACGAGCAAAATATTTTATATGAAGAATATGGATCAAATCTGAGAAACCTGAAGTAGCTATACAGATCATCAATTGAATTCTGGATAGGTGTACCCGACAAGCACCAACGACGTTTAGCACGTAGACCCCAACAAGCCCTAGCTACTTGAGTTTTGTGATTCTTGATGTATTGAGCCTCATCCAATATAACCCTAAACCATACAACTCGACCAAGAGGGCGAGTGATAGTATCAAGCAATTCATTGTCCATTCCCCTTCTAGCCTTAGCAGAGTTCTTTCCTGAGCTTGGAAAAGTTTTCCTCTTTTTACCATATGGATGTTTCATAGGAGAGCCCTCGGTTTTCTTTCCTGTCTCATCATCTTCTTCTTCGACAAGACGCTGCTTTGGAACTTCCATGCTTACTATTGCATATGTTGTAACAACAACATCATACTTGGCCAGCTCTGATGCATCCTTGGTTCTGTTGCTTCCGTGGTACACCAGAACAGAAAGATTGGCTTTGCTTGCTACCTTATTGTGTAATTCCTCAGACCACTGACGAATGACGCTGGTAGGACATACAACAAGAGTTCCAGCAGCTGTCCTACCTTTCACAAGCAAGGATTTATTACTGGGACGTCCATTACCTTGAAAAAATTCATCCCCTTTACTCAATCCTGGTGTACAGGAAGCATAATCAGCATCAGTATCTTCATCCAAATTCAATGTCTCGGTTGGTCTTGAGATGACTGTGGGGACTCCAAGAGATGAAGGCCTTTCTTTGAGTATAAGTGAAATACTTGATACTGTCTTTCCAAGTCCCTACAAATAATAAATGTGCAAATTCAAAAGAATGATAGGCAATCCTAGTGGCATGTTTACCAGTTCAAAAGATATAAGGGTAAGAAAAGCCTCAAAATTTAACCTGATCATCTGCAAGAATCCCACCAGAACAGTGTGGATTTGTTGTCTCCTTCTTAACCATCCATGCTAAAGCAATCCGCTATTCCAAGAAAAAATATGTGTTAATGCAAGGATGCAGGACCTAACATAACTTTCTCAGCTAGATGTTCTGAAACAACTGTTATCAATCTTTTTCTCAGCTAGATGTTTTGAAACAACTGTTATCAAACTTGTTCTCAGCTAGATGTTCTGAAACAACCATTATCAACCTTTTCTAGTCATTTTTAAACAATCAAAATATAATACAGTGACAAAGCTACACTGACGAATGTGGAGAGATGAAATCCTGGTCTAATGCAGTGGCAATCATACAATGGTATGAGAGGGTTTAACTTATCACACTTCATGATTGGGGTACAAGACTTCCTTGAGCAGGCAGCGTTATTGTTAAATATTGAATTTGAGTATAACAAAAGTACAGGATAATTCCCATTTACGGAAAACAACAATTTATAAGAATAAAAGAAAGCATAACCACGGGGTAACTATGGAAACATAGCAATTTTATAATAAGAAATGTGAATCATTGAAGATATCTCAATACTTCTTTAATCCCATTTTAGGTGTTCAGGCGGTTCAGCTTATACAACAAGACTTGAGCAACTTTCAGTTCAATTCAAGTACTCGCTACAACAACAACAAAAGAAGCCTGATTTTAAAAGCTTTTTCTATTAAATTAATACTCCGTAGTATTTAATTCTTTATGCAAATAATTTTTTATAGATTACTCTACATTTGCTTATTATAATTTAAATATTACACCTCCATAAAAAGAGCCAGGTTTGGTCAAAGTAAAAAAACTTGTCCCAAAAAGAGTCTTATTCCATCAAATGGAGCATATTTTCTTGTAATTTGTCACAAACATTTACAAAACAAGTTTGATATGATAAACTAAGTTAAGAAGTGTTAGACCAAAAACAAATTTTAAACATATAGGTAAACTTCCATGACATTTTAACAATGTACCTTGCCAAAATCTAAAATTTGCACCCTGACTAAACATACTCCTTTTTTTTGGAGAGGTAGTATTCAATTAACAATAAGTAGATGAAATGAAATTTATAAACAACTTTTTGCACAAGCACAAAATTTAATACAAAAGTATAGGAAGTTATTAAAGAAGCATATGTTGTCATATTAAGACAGAACCACCTCCCCACCCTCCCCTTGGGAGACCCATCCACTCCCCCCTTCCCAACTCCAACTTTGTTGGAGTGCCATAGTAGCCTAGTGTCATACTATGACAGTATGACACCATACACCGTTGTCACAAGAGTCGACGGTCACAACTATATCTGATTATATTATCCCCTTTTGAGTAGAAAAGGGATAATATAATCAGATATAGTTTTGATTAAGGAAATATTAGGATGAAAAAACACTTATTTTATAATGATACAGCAATAGATTAAAATGAGAAGACGCTGACAGGTTTGAAGAATTATGTACAAATATCTCTATCCATTAGATCTACTAACAATTATATGATCAAATATTTTACGAAAACAGCCAGGCAACCGTGTGTATCGGTGTGAGTGTTAGTTTAAATTTTAATTATCGAGCTCTGCTGACAGCAATTCTTCACATCACCCATACTAAATTGAATGAACATATTCATGCATCCCCGATTGTCTAAATCCAAGTCAATGATGACACTGTCCTAGACATCAACACAAGATGTTTGCATGTTATTATTTATCTAACTACAACACTTCAAGTCACTAAACCTCTACTGGCAAAAAGTTCACTGTTGATGGTTAGAACTAATTAACTAATTTCCAAAACAAAAACTAAAAAGAAAGAAAACCGCCATAAAACCTGATGTCTCAAAAGCGGAACAGACAGCACATCATTAGGAGGAGTATCTTCTGCTCTTGGTTGAGATAGGTCCTGGAAAATGGCACAATACCATAAAAATGCATTTTTCAACATAATGACTATAATAGATTTTTTGCCCAAAATGTCAAAGCAGTTCTTAAGAAATATTACACAACAGAAAAAAATTATGAAAACCATAAGAGATTCAGGTAGAAATTAACAAAAGATAATCAATAACTGCATAATGATACACATGTATGCCGATTACTATTCCCTCCATCCCCATTTAATTAAGACAGCTTGACTTCACGTAGTTTAAGAGAAATGTTGAAAAGTAAAAAGCATGTGGTTAATTTTTGTTTACAAGAAAGAAAAGAAGACAACATATCATTTGTTTTATTAGGAAAGTAGAGAAGTGTGCACATTTATTTGAGTCAATCAAAAAAGGGAAGTGTATGAATTTATTAGGGACGGAGAGAGTATAAATGTTGCACATGCACCAAATAGAACGTAATTGTAGCTTTATTGATATTGCAAAACTTGATTCACTTACATGTTCCGGTCATTTTGTGTTCGGATTAGCGCAAGTCCATGACTCAGACTGTTTGTGGTCAACCCAATGGGTAAAGAGTGCTCATTTCTAAAGTATTTTAATGGGTATTAGCACTTGTATATTACATAATGAATGTAATATACTACTCTATCCGTCCCGGATGATTCACCTAGTTTGACTTTTTCGAGCCAAACTGGACAAACTTAAATAATCAATTACAATAAATTTGCATTGCATATTAATACAATGAAACAACTTTTTGATGGTTTTCAGCGAGATAAATCTAATGAAATCATTTTGTACTAATATCCAATACAATTTTTATTTAATTGATAACCAAATTTTGGCCCGTTAGACTCAAAAAAGTCAAACTTGACAAATACTCTGGGATGGAGAGACTATAATTCATAGTCGGGCATCTTCTTTTGATATGCTTGACTTGAGTTCTAAAAGGAAGGGCAGCTGATTTCGTGGAGTAGATTCATGGTTTCCTTTTATTTGTTAGTTATTAAGTTCTCCTCCTGGTTCTTGTATTTGGTTAATACTTGCTTTTCGTGGTTGAACTGTTCAAATTTGTTGCATTAATATAAGCTATCAAGGTTACTATTGTTTCTGAGATGTAAGATAAATCATTATAGAGAAAATAAACTTATATAGACACACACACACATTAGAAGACTAAAATGACAACTAAATATTTTTAAAAAAAAATCTTTAAAACAAAAATTATATACAGTAAAATGGAACAAAAAGAAAATAAAATGACAACAGTCTTTATCACATTATACTTCACATTAAAGTGTCATTCGGAAAATCATCTTACCTCAAATGGACGTTTGGGATTGACCTACTTTTAACGAGTCATTTCAGGTTCAGTCAATTTTGAATTTGAGTAAAAAAATTACTTTAAGCCAAATATTTTTAGGTCAGGGCTCTGCTCAAATCATAGGTTTGGTCAAATTTTGAAAGGTCCACCCAAGACTCTTGACTTACCCCAAAGCATTGTGTTTTATTGGTTGGTGAAAAGGATAAACAAAGAACAACCCCTTTTTGGGTACCATCTGTTTAATAGAAAACGAAGCCTTGCAGTTGTGGTCTCAGGCTCTCATAGTGTTAAATAAGAGATTTTATTGATAACACATTCCTTGATTCTTTCATAGTGCAACCGAAGACAGACATCTTTCACAACCTTTATCTACTTGACAGTTGACACACACACACGTGTGCGTGCGTATGTGTGTGTATCTACTTGACACACACACACGTGTGTGTGCGTGTGCGTGTGTGTGTGTGTGGTGTATACACTCCCTCACTCTCAAAAAAGTTGTCCTAGATTGACTTTTATGCTAACTTTGACCATAAGTTGTGAGAAAAATATAATTAAGGGAGATTGACCTTTATCTTTAATTGTCCTAGATTGACCTTTATCTTTAATGACATGACTCTAACAAGGGAGTTGTCCTAGATTGACCTTTATCTTCAAAGACATGACTCTAACAAGGGAGATCAAAATTGCAAAACTCACCTGCAAGGCAGCTTGGAAAACAGATTGCTCATTATTTAACTTGAACCTTGAGTGTCCCACTCCCACTCCAACATGAGCAAAACTTTCATTAAATGCAAGCTGGGAAGTTACAAAGAAATTTCCTTTAGGCACACATGGATTTGACCGAGGAGGTGCACTCAAATCCTCGAGAACGCACACATCATCATCACCATCATCATCATCGCCATCATCAATAGCATAGTAAGAAGTTTTAGAAAATGAACAACTTCCAATAACTTGGGGAAAAAATGTTGTCATATGGGAGTCGAAATCTATCGCTTGTATATGTTTATTCTCTACAACCTGCACATCTGGACCATATTCATGATTAAGAAGAATGGGATTTGCTGATGTACCATCAATGAGCCTGTTAGAATGATGGTCAGGCTTTACAAACTCGCGGAATATGTCTTTCTTTTGGTCCTTCCGATTATGCCCATACATCTTGCTTGAATGGAAAGGCGGACAATGGTGGGAGTGTGAATCTAAAAGATCCTCGGAAACAACTGTTTCAGCAGCAGCAACACATGGGTTCCTATTGATCAGTTCACCTTTTCTATCAGTTGTAAATTCTAGTTTTTTACAGAACCTACTTGATTGCTGCTGAGTGGGTGTCTTCATCCCAGCATAAAGAGAGTTAACATTCATATCCTTCATGTCGGCATTAGCAGCTATAGGAGGATACCAACCTCCATCGGCACCAACCGTCAGACCACCATAGCCACTTGTGATGTCTGTGCTGGTATACTGAGTCAATGGCTCCTGCATTTCATCCTTTAGATTGAGCATCTTCTCACCATTGCATGGCAAAAAATTAAAATCGAAGTTCCTAGGAAAATCTTGCCCAGAAAGATACGGAAATGATGGGATGTCTTCAGACAACGTGTGTGTGTGATGCACCCGAGTGAATCTTTCACCCAAGCCACCTAAAATCTGAGCTTGACTGGAGGCAGATAGACGTGCAGCCCGTGAAGGCATATCAAATTCTGCTGCAGAAGATTCTATTGTAATTGATGCTAATGGGGTTCTGATATTAGATAAATCACTTTTTGAGGCACTAACAGTATCTGAACAGAGCTTACCATTTCCCTGAACCATCCAGTCAGGACTTTCATCTAAACTATGTACTGTGGAGCCAAATTGATATGAACCAGTAGCTGAACCACCAGATGCTCCAACCATATAACATGAAGCTACAGGCTCATTTGAAGATGCTGAAAATCAGAAAACAGACTCTCAGGCATAATCAGAAAAAAATAATGAATATATACTCAAACACAATCAACATTAATCACGAGCAGACACAAGGATTCTGAGCCTCTGAGGTATCACTGTGATTTTACCATGTGCTGTGGAAGTCGAAGATGAATCCTTAGACCTGCTCTGCAAACCAGAATTCAAATATTAAGCAATTATTATTGTCAATTCAATCACTGAAGAAAGTAGATTATGCTGATCAAAAGTGAACCCTTCTCTTAATTTTGTCATGCAATCAAAACCTAGAGGGTTTGTAAAAAAAATAATCTTATCGCCACAATCAACTCACATAGCACTCCTCTAACCAAGAAGTGGAACATTAAGAACTACCTCTGCGAAGCTTCATCATTTATTTAAACTCCTAAAATGCACGTCCAGCCCTAGATTAACAACGAATTGATGGGTATGGCTCTTTTCTAGGGGGGGATTGCGAAAAGGAACACACAGAACTATACGCACCAGACAATTTTCGGATTCGTCCGGCCCCAGCATGTTCATAAGCGTATCTAGATCAATAGACAGATCATCGGAGATTTCCCAAACTTCTCCGCCGCCGCCGCCGCCGCCGCCGGCTGCGGGCAACTCCTCCGGACACCGCAATTCTGGATTACTGTCCGCCATCATCATCACGATTCCAATCAATCACCCGGTGCGGAAACGGAAATCCTAGTTTTTTTTTTCAAATTTTCTGCACATACGATTGGGACACCTAACTTGTCCTGATTCTCTCCCAATTTGTCTGATTACCGCAGTATGTCTTCGTCCTCACCTCTGTGCCGGTGGGAACGAGTTGAAATCCAGTTGCGATGGAGATTCCTTGCGGTTTCAGACTCCTCGGCTCGTCTTTTATCCAGGTAAGGCATATTTTAACCGCTATGGGCTTGTGTAGGTTTTTTGATATAGGGGGGAAAGGGTTTGCTGGCTCTAGCTTAGACGCATGAAGGCGCCAAATATGAGTAAATATAGAAAGAGAGTTTTTAATTAACTTTAAGAAAAATGTTAAAAATCAAATGTTATGGTTAGCTAAAATTTTCAAAACATTAAAATGTTTGGCATATGTAACCACTAAGACCATCCACAATGAAAATGTTTCCATAGATTATTATTCTTAAAAAATACAATTTTCAAAATCTCTCCAATGAAATTTTCTGACGTAAAATATTTTCAAAAGATCTTTGAAAAGTATACGTTGATTCCTTTAAAATGATGTGTTGATTCACAAATATAGTGGATTCTTGGATACAAACTCATTGGATGAAAAAATGTATTAAAATGCTTTAAATTTAAAAATAAAAAAGAATTTTGTGTATAGTTAAATCAACTAATAGAAGTATTCTAGGGATGGAGCTAAATGCTCTAATATATTTTCTCCTTACACGAGTTCTTATTTTTATCGTTAATAACTCTATTACAATTCTAATACTCGTTAGTGGGATTTAATCCATAATCTTTCATTTGGAATAGTCACTTTGGTGTTATTGGATAATAAAGTCTTTGGCCGAATTCTTATATTATATGGGGTACATTTAAATATCAAGACGTAAAGTGTTTATTATATGCATTTTTATTTTTCTGTTGTTGTTTACACTTAGAGTATGCATGATATGAAATTGATGCTTGCATGCTTAATACAAAGTAATTAATAATTACGGAGTACATAATACTCATTTCATTGTTGTTTTTATGTTACTAATAATAATACTTTCAGTCAATAAAATATAAACATAAAATTGTAGAAAAGTACACTTTTTAACATGCTTAAAGTGCACATACTTACAAGCTAGATGTGACATTACTATCATATTTTTTCAAATGAACAATGAAAATAACAAACAAAATGAATAAAATTGATTATGCAATAATGAAAGAGAATAATTTTGGACTAAAGGAGTAATTCGTGATACATAATGCTCATTTCTTTGTTATTCTCTATGTCTTAATGATAACATTTTCAATCAATGAACAAACTAAAAATAAAATTGTAGAAAAATATACTTTTTAACATACTTAGAATGTACACCTTACAAAACAAAGGCATTCATATTTTACAAGTTATATAATACCCGTTGGATGTATAATTATTCCTAAGGGGGTTTAGAAATGGTTTAATTGAATAAAGCATGATAAACGAAGTGGGAAAGGTTTCAATAGAATACAATTTAGAGAGATGAATTACTGCAGATTGTTCGTCTCGTGTAACATGTTAAAAAGTATTGCTTTCATTGTTGTGCGGTTTGAGAATCCCCCGTAAGTGGGTTTATCCTGATTCTTTCTTCTTCTTTTTTCCTAACTTTTTCCTTTTCTCATTTGGCAATACGTGTGTGTGTGTGTGTGTGTGTGTAGAACAATCGAATGTACAATACTTCCCGTACATCCACATCGAGTACTTAATTTCGAGTAACTAAATATTCATTTTAAATATTTCTTTATTTTAGTTGTAGATCTGTATATATTTTACTTAAAATGAGTATCATGTTACTCGTAAATATACATTTAGTATAACCGCAATGAGTACGATGTAGCTTTCAAATGAACACAGGTATATTTTGTAATGTACATGTAAAATAAATATGCAAAATGAATATTTTGTTACTCGAGCATGAGTAAAATGAGGTACATATAGACGTGTGATATAAGGATCCTTCTCAATTGTTGTAATGTACATGTAAAATAAATATGCAAAATGAAAATTTCGTTACTCGAGCATGAGTAAAATGAGGTACATATGGACGTGTGATATAAAGATCCTTATCAATTAATGTAGCCATTATTAAATTATCTAAGAATCTCTCAATCTCAATATATAATTAGCATGGGAGAGATCCTAAAATAAGGTACAATATTTTTTACTTCCATCTGCCAAATAAAATTCTGGTTTAAAGTTCTTTGTTTTTATTTTAAATTGGTGATTGTAGGTAGCTCTTTTGCGTAGGGTAAATGGGTCCTAGAAATGCAGGTTGGAATTAAATCGTACAATTCAGAGCGAGTTAGTGATGAAACAAAATTTTCACATAAGACATTGTAACATGATTCAAGAATATCACTATAGAAGAGACAAAGAATTCGTTGTAAAAATTAAACTAAAAGATGAAATGTATTTTACTTTGGTTTAAAGTTACACATCACAAATGAAATTTCAAATTAACTTTTTTACTGTTATATGTTTGACGTCTTTGCATAATACGCGCGTGTTGTGTACATTTTACAAATTGTCTAATATAGGGACTAATTACACTATGGTTGTTTGACCACATGAACTATTTGACAACTTTTAAAAGTTGAAGGACTATTTACCCATTTATGAAATACTTTATGGACTATATATGTATATAAATCAATGAAATTAAATCAAATCAGACCAAAAAATTTAAATCATATCATAAAAATTTAGATTAGATTAGACATTTATAAGCTCAAATCAGAATTAATAGTTCAGATGGAGAACATATTATTGTTACTTTCGTCCCAAATTAATCTTCCCATTTATTATTTGAAGCCTTTCTGGTTCCAAATAATTCTTCCATTTATTATTTGAAGTCTCTCTATAACTTAAGTGTGCATGCATGTTTTTATTGATAATTTTATAAAATCAAGTATTTTGTTGTCACGTCTAGTTTTATAAAATTTTTGATGTTTTAGGTATGAAAGATATAATTCATACGTAGTACATTTTATACTAATTTATAAATAAAATTATCTTAAGAAATACTCCATAAAATTTTACACACCGTTCAACATTTGGGGTAGGGGAATACTATGGTCCATGGCTGTGTGGGTTCCTCTGCCAAAAATTTCCCATTTTTCTCAGGCTCACAGGCCAGCGGATTGGGAACTTGGTATGGCGCAGCTACGATGTCGTTTTATCTTTCTCCTGCATATCTTCTTCTCTCGCTCTTCTTTCCGTTCAACAACACCTGACCAGAACTTCTCCCGTTCCTTCCCCTTCACAGCGCAGGTTCGCTTTCTCTCTCTCTCTCTCTCTCCATATCTATATGCAGGCACCTCAAATACAATTACGCGTGCGCGCAGCTACTGGATATAGCCCTCGATTGAAACTTGCTCAATGTGTTATACTTTCTAGCCCTAATTTGTTCAATTCGGAGTTTTTTTGTGTGTGCTCTAGGCGGTTTCCTGAAATTCTTGATGTGTGTAATTGGAACTCAGCTCTGAAGTGGTTGTTTTTATAATGATCCATAACTGTATGTTGTTGGATTGAATTGAGCTAGCAAAGAGAAGTACATAATATGTTTGGAATATGAACTTTTCCACACAAAGCAGATAGTGTCTGAAGTGCAATGGATTTATAGAATTGTTGCACTTTTAAGCTCACGAGTATCGGCTAGTGCTGTTTTTTTTGTTTTTGTGAAGGTAAATCTGGTAAGTGTTAACTGTTAACTTTCTTCCTTAATTTTTAGGATCTTAGCTTTTCCGTAACTGGGAATTCTGAATTTTCTTTTTTATGCATTACATCTCCCGTGTTAGGCCGGTTGCTGTGCGGGGTTTCGTGATACATTATCGGTAGGGCTTGTTGTGGGAATACTTCTATGGAGCATCCAAGATCAACATCTGGCGTCGGGGAGGATAATATTGGGATTCCTGATGATTTGCGGTGCAAGCGATCAGATGGAAAACAATGGAGATGCACTGCCATGTCCATGCCTGATAAGACAGTGTGTGAAAAACACTACATACAGGCTAAGAAGAGGGCTGCAACTTCTGCAATGAGAGCCAGTATGAAAAAAGCTAAGAAAAAACATTCTGTTGAAAATGACACATTCTTGGAGAGTAAAAGTGATGACATGGATCTACCACTTAATAACCAGAATACAGGGGATTTTTCTGGTTCGGTCTCTGGGAAGAAGCATAAAAAAAAGGTATCTAAAAATCAAAGTGGTTATTTTCCTGAAACAAATTCAAATCGGGCATATTCCAGTACTGTGAAAACAAATGATGATCTAGAAAGAGATGCTTCACCATGCGAAGAGAGTTTAAGGTCTTATAGGGAACCACTCCCGCATTGCCAGGAATCCTCCAAAAACAGATCCCAGAAGACTTTTGATTCTGGCCATATGACGGTAACTTTAAATCTCTAATTTTTAATTTACCAAAAATATTTTCTTTAGCTCTAATATAAAGGAGTCTGTTTTAGCAAGGTCATTATCTTTTTAAAATTTCAACCAATTTTCTTTGGTTCAGAAAAGTACATGGAGTGCATTAGTTAGGTGAACTATTAGTTTCTCTGTCTGCATTATTAAGTTTTACCAGCTTTACTGGTGCCTGCTCCATAACATTCAGGAAATATTCCTGCAACTATGCACCCAAGGTGTTTACCAATGATCAATTTGATAGACTAGCCTCTGTATGAGTAGACTGCCATACTCTGATATTTTTATCATTCAAGCCCAGTTTCATGATTATGGTAATTGCTTCACATATCCCTGGTCTTATATTTTTTAGGAAGATTCTGAAGGAAGCTCTGATGCTTCTGATAACACCGGTGGGCAACCTTGTCATCAATGTCGGCAGAATAATCACAGGGTTATTTGGTGCCTTAAATGTGATCGAAGGGGATATTGTGAAAGATGCATCTCAACTTGGTGGGCTATCATTTCAATGTTAGACACACTTTTGGTTTAATGCCTTTCCAAATTGATGATAGGAGTATTTGTCTGTCAGGTATTCAGACATACCAGCAGAAGATATTCAGAAGATTTGTCCTGTTTGTCGTGGCAATTGTAATTGCAAAGTGTGCTTACGAGGAGATATTCTGATAAAGGCAATTCCAGCTTTACATTGACCTTATTGTGCATTATGAACTTATTTTGTTGTTTACACCACAGTTTGTGAAAGCATTAATATAAATAATTATATTTTTTTGAATAAAGGCTAGGGTTAGGGATATTCCTGCCCAAAAGAAGCTGCAGTACCTTTTTTCCCTCTTATATGCGGTACTTCCTGTTGTAAAGCACATACATCATGAGCAATGTTCTGAGGTGGAGTTAGAAAAAAGGCTCAGAGGTAGCCTATTTATCCAAGCTATTCCATTTGGAGTCTTTAGTTCTAAGCTTACATCAACCTTTACTATCTTAGCGTCTGACACTTCTTTTCCAGGAAATGGGATAGATCTTGCAAGAATGAAGTTAAATTCTGATGAGCAGATGTGCTGGTAATATTCTGAATATTGATATGGTGTTAATATCTTATTGGAAGCTGGGATCACGCAAAGTTTTAGATATTATTTCTCATATAGTACATAACAATGATGTACTATTTGGTAAAGAAGGTTTATTGTTTCTTTGTGCAGTAACTTCTGCAGAATACCAATTATTGATTATCATCGGCACTGCTCAAATTGCTCATATGATCTGTGCCTTAGTTGCTGCAAAGATATTAGAGAAGCTGCCAATTGTTCCTCTAAGGAAGATATCATAAACCAGATTTCTAGCCAGACCAATGGTGGGGAAATGATGTCAGAGGCGTTCAAACTATCCAATGTCCAATTAGAATCCTTTAAAAGGATAGCTGATTGGAAAGCCAATAGTAATGGCTCTATACCGTGTCCCCCCAAAAAGTATGGGGGCTGCGGTTCCTTGACTTTAGTTCTAAGACGCATCTTCAAGATGAACTGGGTTGCAAAACTGGTAAAAAATGTTGAAGAAATGGTCGGCGGCTGTGTGCTACGTGAGTCAGGCAATGTAGACAGATTTGGCTCTGAGCTTAATCTATGCAAGGCTGCACATAGAGAGAACGCTGATGATAATTATTTGTACTGTCCATACTCGGAAGATGTAAAAAATGAAGGGATTGAGAATTTCAGGAAGGAGTGGAGCAAAGGCAAGCCCATTATTGTAAAAGAAGTTTTGAGTATCTCATCAACCTCAATATGGGATCCCATGTTTATATGGAGGGGAGTGCGGGAGACAACCGACGATATAACAAAAGATGAGGACATAATTGTGAAGGCTATTGACTGTTTGAATTGGACTGAGGTTGGTTCAATAATTTCCAATTTCCCCTATACTTTGTGTTATTATCCACTTATTTTGATATCAAGCTTGTTGACCTTTAGGATATAGTCGATATACCCACTCATACGAACAAATTCTCTTAATATAGAAGGTAGTAAATTGTTCATGTTTCTCCAAATACTGCATGATGCGTATGATGCATGAATTTGAATGTTTTGCTCAATCCACTAAAACTAGGAAATTTTTGGAAAAATAAAAGTTCTGACAGCTAACTAATTCAAGCAACTCCAAAGGGAAGCAACCTTTCAAAAAAAGAAAAAAGAAAAAAGAAGGGAAGCAACCAAATTTAATTAATAAACCAAAATTGGGGGTAACAACTAAAAAATGTGGCTCAAAATCTTTCGGCATGACTTATATAGCACTGTACTACAGGTTAATCATTATCTTTTGGATTCGTGCTGACAACTGCATCTCCTCTCTCGTGTGCAATATTTTCTGCAGATTGATCTTCGTCTTAGTGAGTTCATCAGGGGATACTCAGAGGGCAGGATTTGTGAAAATGGGTTGCCTCAAATGTTAAAATTGAAGGATTGGCCCTCTCCTAGTGCTTCAGAAGAACTTCTATTGTACCAGAGACCTGGATTCCTTAGTAAAGTTCCCTTGCTGGAATTCATTCACTCTAAGTGGGGTCTTCTAAATGTTGCTGCCAAGCTACCTCATTATTCACTTCAGAATGATGTTGGTCCTAAGATCTTGATCTCTTATGGATTGTATGAAGAGCTCAGCAAAGGTGATGCGGTGCACAACCTTCATATAAATATGCGTGATATGGTGAGTTCACCTCCACCTTTCAGAGGTTCAAGTGGCAGTCTAACCATATTTTTATAATCATACACTTCACATTAATACAATATTTAATGTTAAAAGAAAGTAACTTCACATAAATGTTTTTTTTTCATGTTTAGGAGTTCTTTGGATTATCTTTTTAAATCATACAGATCACCGGTTTTTTGGGCACACTAGCGTGGTCCATAGTAAGCATGCTCTCGAAATAAACAATCAAGATGAAGTCAACTCATTAGGCAACTTCATCTTGATCCTCCATTTCAGCGGCGTGCTAAGTATGGGCTGCACTAGGGTGCCCAATAAACTTTATAGACCACACACGTAATCTCTTTCTACTGATTATCAGGCTTAGATTTCTGTAGTATTGTACTTGTGCATACACATATTTCCTGCACAACTTGGACGAAGTAGTGAGAATAGTTGAAAATAAAAGTAAATTTGCAGTAATTCAATCTAAAGCTTGTCTTAGTCAAGCAATACATCTACTTGTTAGAGTTCTAATCACCAACTGACTTGTACTTGCCATAAAGTGAAAGTATATATTTTATATATTTTCCGCTTCATGTCGGCTGATCAAGATAACAACTGGAGATGCAATTGGTTTGCCAAACACTTTCAAGTACTAAGATACAATCCTGGTTAAAGTGGTAGTCACATTATTTACTTGCCAACGGTTTTTTTAAAGAGTGCATTTGAATACCACAGTGTAATTACAAGGGTAGTAATTACTAATTACTTTCTCTGTCTCGTAAAGAACTCCACTCTTGGACATCGCAAAGTTTAAGAAAATTGATGAAAAATAAAAAGTGTGGTTGGGATTTGTTTAGAATAGAGAGAATGTTGTGAGCCACAAAATCCTTCGGTTAAAAGAAAATGTGAGAAGTGGTGTTTATTTTGGGACATCCAAAAATACACCATTTACGCTTTGACTTTGTAATTACATGCCAAACCAAATAGGACAAAGAGTGTATTACACACAATTACACCAAATCCTAATTGCACTTGGGATATTCAAACACAGTATGGAACATTATGGACATGTTGAAAAATGACAACTAATCCATCAATAGCAACATAGGTTCATACTAAAAGCATCAAAATATTAGTTATCTGGCATTTTAATTGCATTTGTCCATAGTTGATTCCTCATGGGAACAACTTCTCTACTTTCAAGTAGGGTTACAGTTTGCGTACACACACCCTCCCTAGACCCTATTTTGTGGGATTATACTAGGTTGTGTTGTTGTTGTCCATAGTTGATTCAAAGGATTGCAAATATCATTGTTTCCTTCCGAAATAGAATTTGTTAATGCATGATATTATCTGGGGATGGGACTGACTCCAGGACCCGACTCAGATCCATTTTTAAGGATATGGGTCTAACCTTTAATATCCAATGGATATGGGTCGGATATGGGCCCAGCTCTCTAAAGCAGATCTCGGTATTGGCTTAAACGTTGACTCGTTGAGACCCAGATCCTTACCCAAGCCAATACTTAGACCACATATAATATAAAAGAACATGTGTTTAAAACTCAAATCGTGATACTATGCTTTCTTTTTTGTTTTTCTGAATCAAGTTCCTTCTTCGTTCCTCATCTCTCTTCAGGCTTCACCATATTTGATGGATCTATCTCCAACTTTCAAATACACGACGATGCCTGTTAGGTTTAGCATTGTGTTGCCAGAAACGTTAGTCAACCTTATCAATAGTGGACATGTTTCTAGTTTCCTTATTTAATTTGTATATTATATTATTATTACATAATTAAAAGATGTTAATGTCTTACTAAATTTATATTCTCTATTTAAATTCTATATTTAATCTTTTTCTTCAACAAAATCTATATTTAATCCTTAAAATCCTAAATTGTTAAAACCTCTTAATAGGTTAATATATGCTTTTTCCCTAAAATAATGTTTTGTTAGAAATTTGTGTTAACAGTTTAATTAACATTTAATACTTTGTTAAGACCTATGTATTTTATTTTCAATATGTCAATTTTAAGTGCTAGATACACTCTGTGTATTGTGTGTCAACAACAACCCAGTTGAATCCCACAAAACTAGGTCTAGGGAGGGTGTGTGTACAGAGACCTTATCCCTACTCGAAAGTAGAGAGGCTGTTTCCAATGAGAGCCCGCCCCGGCTCAAGCACCATAGATAATCATGTACTTGTTGGGTTATACGGTGAAGGCTTTAGAGCTTTGGGCTTTAAGCCCGGTCGGCTAAAGGGAAGAAATATGGGGGGCCGGTTTTAGTTATTAATTAAAGGGCCCATTAGTTGTTTCTTGTTTAGCAAGTTGTTAACCCTAGTTTATATCTTATAAATACCGAATCATGTAACTATAATTTGTGAGCACCTAATAAAAGATAAACCCTAGTTGCAACCCGTGGAGTAGGTTACTGACCGAACCACGTTAAATCTCGTGTTCTTATTTTCTGCTATTTGTGTGTGTGTGTGTGTGTGTGTTTGTTTGCTTCCGCTTGACCACCTCTGATCTCTGATTCCTAACAAGTGGTATCGGAGCCTTGGTTCGGTTAAACACACGGTTACACAGGATCAATCGCAGGAAGAAGGTGTTGGGTTATTCGGTGAAGGCTTTAGAGCTGTGGGCTTTAAGCCTGGTCGGCTAAAGGGAAGAAACATGGGGGGCCGGTTTTAGTTATTAATTAAAGGGCCCATTAGTTGTTTCTTGTTTAGCAAGTTGTTAACCCTAGTTTATATCTTATAAATACCCAATCATGTAACTATAATCTGTGAGCACCTAATAAAAGATAAACCCTAGTTGCAACCCGTGGAGTAGGTTACTGACCGAACCACGTT